TACTGCCGTTCATAAATAGGAGAAGTTTCAGTATGTTTTAGAATAACAGAGAAATAAATTTTGTAATTACGTCGAAAATGAACAATATTATTAATCACTTTTACTATAAAGGGACTTGTACACTTATTTATTAAACGTATTTTAATAAAAATTATTATTTTAAAATTGGAGGGAATACGTATACTAATTTTAACTTTCGAATTACAAATTAAATTTCTTGGTCCTCTAAAACATCTTTTCGACTATTTCACGTATCGAAATGAATTCTTCCCGCGCGAGGAGAATACAATACGATACAAAAGAGAAAACAATTAATAACAACTTGCCTTCTTATAAATTTCCTTCACTCTTTCCCCATCCTCTCTATTAAAAACCGAGTTTTCCTTTTTTCCCACGAAATTGTAACAACGCAACGCCGTTGTTTCGTCGTGTTTCGTTCATTCGCACGCGGACAACGGGGGCTTGATTATAAATTGTAATTCTCCCCTCTGCTCGCGTTTCCACCGCGCTGTTTTTCGCGCCAAATATTCGAATACCGCCGGTCTAACCTCATTGGTTAAAATAGACTCTGGTCTTTCGCGGGAATAAAAAGGGTTGCCGTGTTACTTTACCAACCGGTTAATGAACCGTGAAACGATAATATTTTATGATATATTTCCATATTTTAAATGTTGATTGACAAGATTGTAATTTGGATTTTTCCAATTTTCTGAAAGAAAGAAAGAAAATGAGAGGATTGAAGAATTGTTAATTTTAATACGTCCATTAAATTACCAGAAAGTATCATAATTATACAATAATGTTGTGTTATATTATATTTAAAAGGGATAACACTTGGATGGATTTTTTACGCATATTTCTCCTCTCGAAAACCGTCCAAGAATCGTTAATAAAATTCTAAAATGAAGGAAAATTTGTTTTTCATCGCTACGTAAGAGAATATAATAATTGCACGGATGAATATGCGACATTTTATAGCGTTACGGGAGATGATAAAAGTGGGAGGTTGTGCATCGATTGAAAGAGGGTTGGCTTTCAGAGAGGCTAGCAAGAATTCGATATCGTTTTAATGGGTGACTCTTTTTTTTCCTTCGATTCGATGAAAGCACGACGCAAAGAGCATACTCGCTTTCGTGTTATGCAATATTTCTGAGATTCCAAGAAGCTTAAAAAATAAATATTTATAATATAGCAAGATACATTAAGATTTTTATAAAGATATAAAAAATAAAAAAAAATACATCAACGTGCAATATTTCACATGGTGAAAAGAAAACAATAATACACATATAAAATACACTTATCTTAAAGATTCGAGTGTTCAATTTCATATTTCAATACACGAATCTACTTTTTAACCTTGTAATTATATTTAGCACACAGTCTCTCTCTTTCTCTCTCTCTCAAACCGAGCATGCTTTCAGCACATAATTTTTTAAAAATATTTATATAATTCACTTATCACCTCATCAAATTATCAAATGCTTCGAAGAAAATTAATTTGATGATGAAATTCAATGTAATGTAACGTTTATATAATTGAAATAGACTTAATTTTGATAATTAACTAACCGTGTCAATCGATTTTACGACTACTGCGTTGTACGTGTAAGAAAATGAATAAAAGAAATTTCCTCAACTTCCAGTGGAAAAAATTCTGAATAAAAAAAAAAAAAATTCCTTGACGATTTTAAAAAAAAAATTATAAATAAATAATTATTGGAATTTACTTTTCAAATAAACCTTGAATTTCCATCCATTCTTATATTACATTAATATCGTTCCGTCGACACAGATGCATAATTACTGCAACTCAACGATACCAGCACGCCTCTCTACGAGTGAAGCGTGGAAGCAATCTCTTATTAATAAACTCACTGCGATACGTAGTGGTTGCTTCACTTTATATGCTAATATCTTCTAAAATTGAACAATGTATCCATAAGGATAGGCTTACCTGCAACAAACAAGAAGAAGAAAAAAATCAAAATTTCGTTATGGAGGATAGAATTACTACGAAAAAACACCAAATCGTGATATCAATCTTTCAAAACTCGAAGATCGATCTGTCATTTAATCTTTCGACTGAAACTAAAACACTCGTCGAAAATAAACTTCACATCTTTCTCGTTCCACAAGTCATACAATTACTAATCTCTTTCGATTACACTTGTATCGCTTAATTATCCCCCGATTCTTGCTCGACGATTAATCGAAACGAGATTAATAACGCGATTCCTTGTCCTTGAAAGTGAATAAGCCGCCGTTTCGCCTCGTTTACCTGTATTTCCGTTGAAACACGTCCGGGAAGCACATGATACCGAGAATATCCCCTATACCCGGAAACCCATTGATCGATCGGAAGCACGACATGCGAATAGAAAAAAATACCGAACAGAAAATTTAAAAAAAAAGAAAAAAAAAAAAGAAAAGGAGGATGGACAAGAGGGAAAGAGAA